TTTTGGTTCTGTGTTTGGATCCGAGTTACTGAAAACATTGCTTAACTTATAATTCGGCAACACGAGATGATAAAATTTGCAATCATTTAACATTTTGTCCTTACCTCACTATTTCTCACACAGTGAAGAAGAAAGATGGAAAATCCCTGCGGGTAGGAAAATAAGAAAGACTGTCACCAAAGTTTTCCAAAAAATGTACTTATATAATCCTTGGCCATCTTAAGTGAAATAATTTCGAGCTTTGCCTTATCTTCTTTTAATTTCTTGACTTTGATTTGTGATTAAGTATTTACTTTTTAAGCTAAAAAATAGGTGCACAAAGAAGGGGACTCGCATCTCACCTGAGTGGAATTGAAGATAACAAAAATGTAAGCAAATGCTTTGTGGGTTGACGATAATGCGCCGAATAACCACGTGACCCCAAGTAAGGGAATTAGCACCACGCACGCTCTGATTCCAAGTCTGCAAAATAAATAAGATATTCAATTAGATATATATAAATCTCGAAGATAAACAGACGAATCGTTGTTTCCAATCCCAACTTTTTTAGCATAGCCCGTCATCAGTGGAATGCCGATGGTGTTGTTGCAGCTAAGTCATTGTACTGTCTTCAATTAAAAACGAAGGGAATTGCACACAATAGAACAGTTTGAGTAGTGATAATGTAATGACATGACCACTTAACGACCAAACAATGTTTTGTTCTCAAAAGGAATCTTTGCTTCATTCAAGCCGGGCGCGTAACAAATACAGTATATTACATGTACTTACACATGCCTATTAAAACAAGCTATAAAATCTGTGAGACCTTATCTGTTCTCCTTGGTTGTCCTTTGTTTGTTCCATTTTTGTCATTTCTCTTATAACTCTCAACAAAATCAACAAGTTTATCTGAAAAAAATAACAGAGTTGAGAAAATAGAAAACCTAAATTGGAATATCAGAACACCGCCCACGTGATGGTGACTGAGGTAATCTTTGTCGTTAAAACAAATCCTTTAAACCACTTTCTTTGTTTTTCTTTTAGTGCGTTTTCGTGTCACTATTTTTTTTATCAGATTAAAAAAAAATACTGAGTGAACTTACGATCTCAATTGCAAGAACAAACGAGATGAATATCCAGATCAATCCGTTAGAAGAAGAAATCCAGCAGCTAAAACGAAAACAAAATAAATTATAAAATCTGCCAGTGTGTGTGCGTGTTGGAAATCAAAAGGACAAATGTTAACTGATATATCTATTCTCATATACGAACAACATTCACCCAAGGAAAATGAAACTTCATTCGCACTAAAGAATATTGTTTTCGATAAACTGCTATAGAAATTGGCCTTACTTATGAAAACATCCTTAATGACTATGCTACAAAATCAAATGTTTGCTCTCTTGGCGAAACTGTTGATATAAATTTATTAAAATCAATAATATTTACACGTTTATACTACTACATGAGAAATTTGTGCAATTTGATTGGCTTATATTAGAGCAGTGGTATTTCAGCTTAACTCGAAATACCTACATGTGAAAATTACAAACCTTTTGGGGGTAGTAGTATAAACAAATAATAGCATGATTTGTACGTGATATTTGGCTAAAATACCACTCGTGATATTTCAAAGAGGTCTCAAATTTCACTCTCCTAACGGCTCGTGAAATAACGTACAACCATTTCGAAATATCACAACAAATCATGCCATTACCTATACTACTAATAATTTATTTCCCCGTAACGAAGGGCAAATGGTGTATATACGAGAAAGGGTATGGGTAGTTCACTCTTATAGGTAAACGAAAACGATGTATCTTTACGCATTCTACTTTTCAGCACTTCACTTCTTACTATTCATCGCTAACAAAACTTGTGATTCCGTCCATTCCGGCAGCAACACTGAGCGATAAAGTGACCATTGCCGCAGGAAAACCTGAAATAAAAGGTGTGGCGGGAGGAGTGCAATTATAAAATTTACATGAACATATTAATTCGGGTTTAACGCATAAACTCAAAAGTGCGAACAACACTCTACATACACTGAATAACAAGCATGAAACTTCAAACACACGTTGAAGTATTCGCGAGGATAATTGTCGCCAGCTATAAGGTGAAACATTAGAATGTCATTTGTGCAAAGGTCGTCAGAAAATGAGTTTCAGGGATTTATCAGGAACAAAATTTGAAATTTGGGTCTGTCAATTTGGCTTCTTCGATAAAATTTGATTGAAACGTTGACGCTATTGTGTTCCTTTTTTCGCCGTTACATTCAGTCTTACGTCCGACACTAGTTTCATCCTCGTCTTTGCCCAAACTTTGAGAAATTAAAATGCAAATTTATCCCTTTACACTTACCCCATGAAATTCCGTGGCAAATTTTCATCTTGCTGCTAACGTTGTAGACTTTGACAACAAACAAGTAAAGATAAATTCCCTCCATTAACATCCAACAGAAAGCCGCCATAAGGAAATATTGAATCAGGACTGCTGCTGTTACACAGACGCCCTGCAAAGTACAACATATAGTCAAAACTCGCATACTGGAAGGACAATGTTATCACCTTGTACCTTTAGTTTCCAGGACGAAAAATTCCAGGAAAACACCCCGGAAAGCTTCAATACTTAGATTGACCAGGCTTCAATGTAACAAACTTTTACAAGAGTAATTCACAAGCTTAGCCATTATTGTTTTAGAGTCTGAAAACAATAGCTTCACTTGTAAAATGCACTTGTAAAAGTTCTATTAAATTGACCGCGGGTAATTTTTAACACCCTATCTTGCCCTATGTTTCCATGTCAGTAATAGTAAATGGAATCCACAAAAAAAAACGTCAGACATTTAAAGTACAGTATGTGGACTCAATTTGCCACCCTAGGGCCTTTTTACATGGAGGACCCAAAATAGGTGAGGTAACCCGCTTTGGTGGGGAAACCCGCCTGTCCATACAATCTCTCATATTCATTTGATCCCTCTTACATGATAGGTGGGATGACCATATGAGAAATTACATGGACAAGTCGGTTACCCCACCATAGCAGGTTACCTCACCTACCTGGGGTCCCCCACCTCCATATAAACAGTCCCTTAGAAACGAGAAGGAAAGTGGAGCAGATATGCTTCCAGGAATTGTTTCTAGGATCCTTAGTAGGGACTTTAAGATCCAACGATGCCAAGGCAACGAGAACGTCTCGTAAAAAGTAAATTTGCGTTCTTTTAGTCTTTTTTCGCGATTATTCCTACCCGCTTACTTTGTCAAATGTAGGCTAACCCTCCTGAAGTTGAATTCCAAGGGACCATATCCAAGTTCAGAAAGAGAAATAAAATTTCGCCGTTACTTGTTTACGTTCTCCATAAAACACGAAATTACGCATTTTCACGTCGTAGTCGTGCAAAAACGGCAACAGAAATGTAAAAAAAGTGTGATGCACGAGCAAAATTGTTGTTTTGCTTATTAAACCTATTGTTTTCTTTGACGTTCTCGTTGCGGTCTCGTTATTAGATCTTAAGGTCCCTTATAAATACTGGGAACGCGCCAGTCAGATATTGGCCTTTTTTCCGTGTTACTAGTAGCAGTCCCAAGTCTTTGCGAAAGTTAATCCGGCCTATTTCACTTCTCGTTGCTTAAGTGACGAATTGACCACTACAGAAAATGCCATAACACACCATAATACTTCTTGCTGGTCACTCCAAAATTTTGCGTAAGCATTGTCTTCAGTTTCTCTTGGGAGTTAAAATGGCCCCACGACGGAAAATGAAAAGAATGCTCCAGCAAACTTTTGGAGTGACTAACGAAGAGTATTATGGTATATTATGGTATTTTCAGTTGTGGTCATTTGGCTAAATTGATTATGATCAGAGCTTGAACGAGTTCTCACCTTGTTTTCAGTTGCTCCAATGCCTGCGACGAAGATTATTTGGCCCACTCCAAGGGAAGCGACAAGACTTATCCGGATTTGTGACAGTGGTGATTTAATATCGCTGTGTAAAGATAAACAACTACATTGTCTTCAACAAAACCACGCTGGGTAAGTCTAACAAAGGAATATCTCTAAATGTGTATTATAACAATGCAACGCAATAGAGCGTTTTTCATTCACGAGATCATCATCTATGCAAATTTATTGGAACAAAAGAAAGTCTTTACGTAAGAAAAGAGTTCAACTGCCACGAAACCGGTTTGGAACACCAACATGGCCGCCGTTTCATAGTTTTTAATTTTAATTTTTTTTATTTTTTATTATTTTTTCTATGGCCTCCGTTACGTCATATGAAAACGCTCTATACAAAACAAATCATCATACAATACAATACAATTCAATTCAATATAGTGAAATACAATGCAATACACTACACTACACTACAATGCAATCTTATACAGTACAAACCAAAGCATTAGAATAAAGTACAAGAAAAGACAAGACAAGACAAGATAAGATAAGATTTATGAGATAAGAAAAGAGAAAAATAAGAAAAAATTAAAGACTAAGAAGGGATAACGTTCAAAATTTGGGCTTAAGGAGTCGTGTGGAAACATTTGATTATGTTTTAAAAAGATGTTAGATGTACTTACGTCAGAAATGCGTAGCAGATTATCGTCGCTATGATTCCGATTAAGGAAAGGGTAAGACCCAAGTAGGTCAGAATATTCAGCACCTTTTCATCTTTCTACATACAAAACAACCGGAAAACCATTTGTGCCAGACACATGCATGAATGGATGCCGGCCTTACATGCAGGCTAATCTTGCTCTTAAGAGCCCGACGTTCTTTCCAGCAGCTGGCACCCAGGCTTATTTTTCGCCGAATTTGTTCTCAAAAACATTTCGAGCTATAACAGATTTCTTTTGTAAGATCTGTTCACTTTTTAAATAAATATTTGCAGGACAAATAAAAGTGATATTCTCCGTCCGTACGGTTACGAGATTAGACCTCACAAATGCAGTGAAACCGGGTCATTTGATGATTTTGGCGGGATTTCGATTTTTAAGAAAAGTGTCCTCATAAACACGCTTATAAAAACACCACTGTTACACGATAAAACAATAATTTTCTAGGCGCCACTATTTATTCTTAGGCTGCACAACAGGCGTTATTGGGGTGCTCAGGCGGGTTTTAAGCTGCCAGTACAAGGCGTTAGACAAGAGAGAGGAGGGAAAAGAGAGAAATGTTGCCTCTCTCTCAGCCAATAGAAACCGGCGTTCGCCAGATGAACGTTTCGAAGAGAGAGAACAATAACCTGTCTACAGGCGTTATTTTTCTCCTTTTCCCCCTCTCTCTTGTCTTGCACTCAGGTTTGCTCCCCGAAACCCGCCTGAGTGACCCCAATAACGCATGTTGTATAACAACATGATTAATCGACTAGACAACCAAAACACAGGGTCTGGAAGGATACTGCCGGAATCCGGGATCTTAACAAAATACAGTGCGGGATTTGGGAAGACGTTGATAGGATTCGATATTTGACGGGAAGCGGGTAGTTAGAAAGTAGTGGATGTAGACCCTGATGGAGTGGCCAGCCTTTCCTCAGTGTCTGGAAGGGTATTCCCGGGAAACAGGATCCGTTGTGAACAAAATACAGCGCGGAATTCGGGAATACGTTGACGGGACACGCCACGTGACTGCCACTCGAGAAGTAAGGTAAGCTGAAATTTGGCCACGGATGCGAGTTTGGAAAAAAAAGGATATTCGAAATAGCGATGAAAAAAGTTTGGGATGCACGTTCGGGACCCTCCTTTCCAAACCCTACAAACTCACTTTTGTTCTTTCTGTCTGTGCCCTACCTTTTGCAGTCTACTGCTCTGGCCAGTTTTCAGTTCAGAATCTGTGTCAAACTGCATTAGAACTGCAAAGTGAGTTAAGTGATTGCAGCTGCATTCTGTCCTGGAGTCATTCAACCATTTGACATGACATCCTTGCCCTGACCAACCTACAGGGCTTCACGAAGAATAAAATAAGTCACCTGCACAAGCAGGCAACGTTTTTATTTCTAAGAGTAAAAACTGTATTCCAGCTGACAAGCAGTTTTCGACCTTGTAGCTCATTTTCAAAGCCAGGGGACTGGGTTTGAAAATGCTCCAACCAAAAGGAGACGGAGTATTTCGATATCCCAACTTCCAATATTGGATCCGCTGTTAAAACTCGCCCTCCCCAGTTACACCATTTATTCAATTTCTCTTCCACCCTACAATTCCTAGCATTCAATGGGCCACCCTTCCTCGAGCTTCACAAGGTTATGCGATATAAGTGTTTCTAGTTGCTAACTGAGACAGTTCACTAGCTAACTAAAGGGTGTGGAACACAACAATCCCATGTCATGTCATATCATCTCATCCTGTCCCACCTTGTCAAATTAAGGCCGAAAGTAAAGTTGTGATAAACTTTGCGGGATGGATAACTTTGTATCTAGGGAGGTGGCGTGAACAACTGTCGGCAAGTTTTCAGAACAACTCGGAAATATACCCCCTCCGAGCAAAAGCTGGATTTGTTTCTCGGCCACCCCGAGTTTAATTCCTCGGCCGTGCTTGTATATAGCTAACTGGTTGCTTCTTGACAGACCTAACAGCTGGGGCTTTTAATCCCTTTAGTTCTATTTAACTTGTAGCCTGAGAAAACAGCCTACATTTGGCGACGCTACGTGGTTTCCCCGCAAAATGACGTCTGAGAAACGAGCGTAGAAATTCCATACTGATGACGCGTCACTACCTAGATCTGGATAGTGCTTCTGATTGGTTGAATCAAATTTCCCACGCAGCACGACCAATCAGAAGCACTACCCAGTTCTGGGTAGTGACGCGTCATCAGTATGGAATTTCTGACCTCGTTTGTCAGACGTCATTTGGCGGGTAAACCAGCGGTAGTTTCGCCAAATGTAGGCTGTTTTCTCAGGCTATGTAACTTGAATTGTTTTTCGTTTCTTCGTATTTAGGTGTACAGTCTGTAAAACAGATGAGGTGCATTTCCACAGTAATTAAACCATTTAAGATTTCCCATCTACCTCTTCTCAAAATTATATGTCTAAGCCATCCAGATCTATAAGATTTGGTGGACTTCACCTCTAAGTCGACACTTGTTACGCTACAGTGGCTTACAAAGATTTGAATTTCTCGGTCGATGATCTGGCTACGCATAGGTAATCGCAACCTTTGTTTCTCGAATAATATAGGCACTTTACCTTAAACAATAAAAAAGACCTTAAAAGTAGCGAAAACCCCTGTCATTGTTCACCCAAAATTGCAATCCAAAGTTTGATACGAATAGGCATGCGCCACTTTAGAAACGAGAAGAAAACTGGAGCGGGAATGCATCCCGCGATTGTTTCTGGGATTGTTATTGGAGACGCACCGGTCAGCTATTGGCCATTTTTTTCCCCTGTTTGAAGAACAGTCCCAGAAGTCTTTGCTAAAAGTTAGCTCGTTCCAGTTTCTTTCTCTTTCTAAAGTCTTTTATACATTTGTGCCGTCGGCACCTGCTGTTCAATTTACCTGTCTTCCATAAAGTTCCAAAATACACACTCTCTTTTCCTTGTTGCCTTCTAAAATCGAAAATGAAACGAACCTTGTTAAGTGGCATCAGGTTTTAAAATATTACATATTCCTCTAAGACTAAAGAAGTTAATGTGATGAAGTACCAACAAAAGGGGTTTTGTTGATTCATACGAGCCTAAGAATTTGTTAGGGTAAGTCCAGAGCAAAAATACGTATTGACTTAAGGATTTATTTAATTAATGGCCATGTCAGTACGTATTGTCAGTAACTATCCTGTAGTTATCCAGGTATCCGAATAATTAGATAACCTAGGAAGTTTCTTGTTTAGGAAAAGCTTACCATTACGTTCGAGAACACAAGTGTGACGTTTCGCTGCAAAGTTGAAGGATGAGGATTAATTGTTGCTGACATGATCATAGTGTTGAGACTCTGGCTGAAAAGCAGAGGAAATAAGAACACTTAAAAGTCAATGAAGAAATCCACTTTTTCTAAATAGCATAAAGAGAGATTATTATAGGTCCATAGGCGAAAAGCGTTCACTGACGACCTGGTATCTCTCCCTGGGTTAATGTAGCAGTGTAAGTTGACGGTTAAGAATATGCCGACTAAAAAAACATTCTGTAACACGGATTCCATTTTAATGCTGGTTTGTATGTAGATTAGGGTGGAGAAATAGTATCCTTTCGTAAGGAAAACCTTACTTTGGAATAGAGTTTGGACAGAAAATGTGCACAAACATATCAATTCTTTAAAGACCTCAAGAAACCTACAGTTAAAAGTCTTAGAACACGAAGAACTTACGACAGTGGACCGGCCGACATTAAATATTTTGCAGCTAGCTAGACATAGCTTGCTTGTACTCTCGAGTGTTCCGAAACTTAGTTAGACTAGCTAGTACTGACCTTGTTTTGTTAACCATTGTATTCGTTTGGTTTACGAGAAACAGTTCTTGGAGTCTTTTATAGATGACACCTAGGAAAATTGAACCTGAAAAAAAAACGATCCATACTTACGTGATAACGGCAAAAGCACGGCTTTAAACATGTTTAAACTGTTTTCTCAATTTTCTCCTCAAGTTATCGGCAAAATAATAAAAAAGGTTAAATAAAAACTGAACTAATTCTGTAAGGAAATGTATGAAGATCAGTTTAAGGGATTTGTATGTCAACATCGCGGGTAGCACAAGAGTAAATATCTCCGCCGGGACGAAAACAGAGGCAGAAACCGGCTGTGAAGTGTTTTCTCTCACATGGATGGCGGCTGTCTTAGTTACTACTGGGATAACGAATTTGCTTGCATACCGTTATGACTGAAAACTTCTGAAGGAATTTTGATGTAGTTTTGTCCTTCTGGTTCAAAGAGATCAAATTGGGTCCCATTGTCGTAGACTCCTTTTCTGACCTGTAAAGCTATTATACAATAACTTTAGTAAATTGCAGAGACTTTATGCATGTTAACTTATTCTTACTGTTAAACTCCTTTTTTGAAACCATCACCGTAGTTTTAACCCCGCAATTATGACTATATAATTTGCTCTTTTCACTCACGACCATAACACATCTTAGGATATCCAAAACATTTCGCGATTCTCTGGATTATTTTTTTTTCTTCTTCTCTGTGATAATTAACCGAGCTTGCGTAGCAACAAGAGTGGTAATTTGCAAGCCGTTTTATTTTCTTCGTATTTAGTTCACAAATAGGACCGGGTCATGGTGCCAGGCGTTTCTAGCGGAGACCGTGGAAACTGTGAATTAAAGGCATCGCGATGTGACCGACAACATAACATTCTTCAGAGCGCTATGAATGTTTTGTGAAGAAAACTTTGGAAAGATTAATGCAAAGGATGTCGACAAGTTTTTCCGGAACGGGTACGTCCACGAATTCTATCGTTTGAAAGCGTTGATCACTTTGCTGGGTTCGTTGGTTGAGTGTGGTAAACTTTCATTGTATGCTTATGAGTCTCGTGATGAGCATGTTAGGTGATGTGGCGAGAGGGCATTGGCTCTAGAAGTCGCCCAGGCCTTTCCGCTTTCCTGCCGCCACATAAGTCAGTTTAATGTCCTCTCCGCAGATTTTACTCGTCAAGTTCCCGTGCAAAGGATCATATCTTCAGTCCCAGTTATAAAGGAATTATGCACAGCCAATAATTTTCACTACGCAATGATTTAATGGACTAGACTGTGCTGATGCCGTACTCGACTGTATTGGATGGGGTGCTCATTCTTCTGTAGGGGTCCTTAGGAATTCTCCCCCGCATAATTACCTCTCTTTAAACTAAACTTTCACACAAAAAAGTTGGTGCATGGGCACCTGCCCACCAAGTCCCTTTTACTCCTACGGCCATTTCTAACGGACACCACACCACGACAGACACCTGCTGTTGGTCCTTGGTTTTCCAGGCAGCATAATAACACTTGGGACTATCTATAAGGCCGAGGAGGACTTCGGAAATCGGGCATCAAAGATCAGACATTAGACATCGGACATCGGACATCAGACATCGAACAACGGATATCAAACATCGGATACGGACATCTGACATCTGACATTGGACATCAGGCATCGAACATCAGACATCAGACATCGGAGGTAGCACACCGGACATCAGATGTCAGACTTCAGACCTTGGACATCTGACATCAGGTATCAGTCGTCAAACATTGGACATCAGGCATCGGACATCAGATATCAGACATCAGACATCAGACATCGGACATCGTACACGGGACATCAGGCGTCACACATTGGACATCAGATATCGCACACCGGACATCAGACGTCGGACATCGGACATTAGACATCCGACATCGGGCCACAGACATCAGAAATCGGACCTCAGACATCAGACATCAGACATCGGACATCAAATACAGCACATTAGACATCAGTCAACAGTCATCTGAAATCGGACATCGGACATTGCACACCGAACACCAGACGTCAGATCTCACACATCAGACATCAGACATAAGATATCGGAGCTCAGACATCAGACATCGGACATTGAACATCAGACATCAGACATCGGACATCAGACATTGGACATCGGACATCGCACGTGGCACACCGGACATCAGACGTCAGACATCGGACTTTACACATGAGACTTCAGACATCAGACATCGGACATCAAATATCGGACATCAGAAATACATACATACATACGAAACTTTATTTAACTCCGGTTTTAAGCATAGCCTAAAGGCTAGTATCTCCAATGAATTACACGAACAACATCACACATAAACAACATTTTAACATGAAAACACAAACTGGTGGTTAGTAAACGTCTAATTTATGATACTATGGGAAAAAATGAAAACGCCTAAATTCCTTCATACCAGTGGTTCTCCTACAAGAACCAGGAAGCGAGTTCCAATATCAGACATCAAACGTCGGACATCGGACAACAGACAGCGGACATCAGACGTCAGAAATCGGACATCGGACATTAGATATTAGGCATCAGGCATCAGATATCACACATCGGGCCTCAGAAATTAGACATCGGGCATCAAACATCGGAAATCAGACTTCAGACATCGGACATTGGACATCAGACATCAGACATCGGACATCGGACATCGGACATCGGTGCGTTGTCCGATATCTGATGATGTCCAATCTCCGAAGTCTGCTGTTTGATGTCTGACCAATGGACATTGGACATCTGAAATCCGTATTCATCCAATTTCTTTTTTTAAATAAAAAGCTCGGTCTTTTGGCATGTTACTCTTTTGGGTTTAATTTTGGTACAAGGATTTCTTTGGGTTTCGTTGGGACTTTAAAGGGTTTTTATTTTCGCCCTTTTGATCGTTATTCCCGTCAGTTTAGCGGCTCCGAAGTCTCCCCCTGGGGAGTAAAAGCGATTCGAGTGCAAAAGTTAAGAGTTTATTCCTGAACACCATAAACGGAGCACCAACATCTTTAATTTATGACGTCAATGAGACGAACGCTTAAGCCCCTCCACTTTTCATGAGGAAGTCCTCGTGTGAATTAAGACGGTAAAGGGTCCCTTTTTTATTGCCCTGAAATTCTTTAGACAGTAAATAGTAAAGCTAGCTTTTTTCGCTGGCTCACGCTAGCCGTTCAAAAGCCAAAAGTTTCCCAGAACTCCCACAAGTGAGCCTGAGCCCATTCTCCGTCGATTGCAACCGTTCCTTGTGTCGTCACGCATTTCCTCTACCCCTGGATAGTGGGTTTATACAAGATCCATTGGTCTAAAAGCCCTTAGACACCTTATGAAGTTTACATGATGAGGTATTTCTTACATGTCTACAAAGGCAGTCAATGGTTACTGTGTAACCTGGCTAGGTAGCACTGAGTTTTTTCTGCTTCCCCACATGGTTCCACGCTCGCACACAGACTCCTTTTAAAAAAAACAATCGCCTCCTATTTCTTATCTAATCTTCAAGCAAGCTCGCGTTAACGATTTTTTAGAGTGTCTTGTTTCCTAAAAATTGCATTTCTTCTTTGTCGATGAGAATTTTTCATGAATGTCTTAATCAAAATATTACCGATGGTTTCATACTCTATTTTCCCTCACTGTGAAGACCTAGTCCAAACCATTAATTAATCTTCCTCAGTATACATGAACATGCTTTTGGGGTGTAACTTGTAAATGGCAAGACAACAAAACGTAAGTTTTTAGAAGTCACATTCTATTCACTCAGGTAGTCAGTAGCTATGCAAATATCTTCGAACAAAGAAATTAAAATTTTCTACTTGAGAAGAGAGTTTAATCCCCAAAGGATTATCTTGTTGCACCAACATGGCCGATATTTCATTTTTTTGTACACCAACATGGCCTCCGTAATGTCAGGAGCAAATGATCGACACTAAATACTTACCTATATTTTGGCTGTTCATTGAGAGATGAGCTGTATTGTTGACGAGGTGATACTGACCAAATCTTAATGCAAATTCCTCGAAAGTGAGAGTAGCCGTCAGCACTTCCTCCATCTTTTGTTCCACTGTTTTATTCAGACTTCTACTGCCAACTGATGTACGATTGGCGTATTCTTTCATATTATCATCGAAAACCTTAACAGCTTCCTAAGTAAAGAAACCGCAAAAAAAGCCAAGGATTCAGTCTTCGGAAATATATCATTATCGGGGTTAGTCTTTTCAGGAGGTCTCTAGGTGGCAGATCCCGGGGAAGGGTAAGTCCAGACCCTCTCTAATCGCATCTATCTGATCAAACTCTAAAGTACTCATGCTTTCTGAGTAACAGACTTACAAAAACACTATATGGAAAAAGAAATAAAATCATTATACAATAATTTTCAATTACCTGCAAAGAGTCGATCTTTAGAAAGTCAAGTTTATTGAATGCCTTTGTCATCTAGGAAAGTAAAAGCAAACGCCCGTATTAATCGGAAATGCATGACTAAAAGTAACAATTTGATGAAACATTCAAACCTTCGCAAAAACCGCTAAACTTCTCCAAGCTAATTTTTGACAGTTGTATGCAGTGCCCAGAGTATTGTTTAAACTGAGTCAGATATTATTAAATAAAGTGATTGTAAGTCTTTTCTACGTAAAAGTAAGGCTAAAAAAAGTGACAATCATTAAAAATGTAGACGTCTTCTAAAATGATTGAGGCCCGACCTAGCACAGATCTTAAGTAACAATTGTGTAAAAAATGTTCTTAGCTGGAAACTTTTGTTTGACATTTTTGGTGACACCATTTTCCAACAGAGTTACGCGACTTAAGTGGCCGGGATAGCGGGACATCCAAATTATCTGAGCCCAAAACACCTAGCAACTTGCGTTTGCGCAAAACTCTGGCAGAATGACGTCAGGCATAGGAGTCCAAGCTGCAAAGCATGTTGTAAAATGGCAACTAACTGTGACGTATTTTTACAATATTTGGAGGAGAATTTCACTGTGATAGCATGGAATCTTAGAGAAAGACCGGTAATAAAACACATTGACAGCTTTTCAACCATGAAAGACGTTAGAATAATCTTTACTAAAATAGACCTTTAAATTTAGTTTTAGTACCTCTTTGATTAAGTCGTACTCAGTCTCGTTGTTCCTATCATCAATGTCTCGTTCCATCACGGCTAAAAATGAGAAAAACTGAGGTGACATCTTTAAGACGAAATAAAGCTGTTATATTTAAATGAGTATTCAATTGCCACCTACGAAACGCATTTTGTTGAAAAAAGCCTACTGAGTGTTAAAAAATAAGTAGGCTCTCGAGCCATGACTCGACAAAAACTTTTGCAGATCTGTTCATCTTTGTTTTGACCAGATTCGACTGACCGAAATCATCATCAATGCAGTTCTACTCACTTACAAAAGTAGGAGCCTAAAGCTACGTGCAAAAGGATTCAACAACTCCTAACATTGTGGGGCCAACAATGTTAAGAGTTGTTGCGTCCCTGTTGGCAGTGGTTAGGAAACGGATGCAACAACTCCAAACAATATTGGGACCTTCGGTGCATGGTGGAAAGGATACAACCCTTAAGACTTTGTAAACATGTGTAATTCGCGCGAGTGGTCCCAACAATATCTGAGGAGTTGTAGAAACGGATCCAACATACGACGCTTCGGAAAAAAATGTTGAGAGTTGTTGGCTCAAAAAGTTTGACGGTTTCATACTTTGCCCAACAACTCCCAACAACATGAGTTTTTTATTTAAAAAATCATAACCACAATCAGATACGTACCGCTTCCGTTGTACCTCGCACCAGAGTCACAATGGATAATGTTAACACTGAAGCGGTAATGGTATGGACAATAATTGACCAGTATTCTTGTAGCAGGTAAATAGGTGCCTATTTCAAATGTAAACGCCTGTTGGCTCTGTTTCCGTAAGAAGAAAAGCTTATAGAAATTAAAACCTCTCAAACATCTTCTTCGTAGTACCGAGGAATGGAAACACGTTAAAAATGATTCACACCAATCTTCCTTGGCTTTGTAGTTGACCATCAACCAGGTGCCGTTTGTACCATTTTTAAGTTTAGCGCACCTTGCGTCTTTGCTAAGAGAGCCAAAATATTGCCCTGAACATGGTGAGCCTACATAAAAGACAAAATTGAAAGTAAATCTTTACTAGATGAGGGGAGTATCTCGAGGCCCCCGGGAGATTACGGGGAGATTACTCTCTATCCTACAATGGCCTATAAAGGGAAAATCCCCCTCGAAAGGGGTGCTTTTCAGGCTTCAGGTATATGAAAGGGTAGGGATTTTATTGCTTGAAGTATGTAAAAGCAAGGGTAGGTAAATATGTCATTGTGGTCTATAAAAAAAAGTTCAGAATGGCTAACAATGCATTTTATGGCTGTGAAAAAGTCGAGAAAGTGTTATGGTTTTGTGATTTTTTTCATATTTAAAAGACAGTCTGAGTTTATTTACGGCAGTTAAAAGAGATGCAAAGTTCTAAACCAGGTATGAGAAAGATTTACCATTTGTCAATAGAAGGTATACGAAAGGGGTAACTTTTCTGTGAAAAAAGGTATGCAAAAAGGTAATGGGTTGGACCCCGGGGAGGAGTCTCCTCGTTTAAAACTTTTTGGATTTCCCCTCTGCTCCTGGCTCGAGTCCTATTTCTCGATCAGCGAATCATGACCGAGGCCCCTATTACAATTTTATTTGAAACCTAGATATGAAAAATACAGATAGACAATGTACTAGATCACTTGTATATGGTGGTATGAGCCCGTGACTAGGGTGGAAGACTACAGAATGGACTAGAAAATTTACGAGATAATTTATGTTACACACACACACACCCAAAAACTCAGAACACTGGAATCTTCAAAACTCAATTGACCAACGTCAATACCTGTGGCAAAATTCAGCCAAAACAAAAACAATGATGGAAGCAAGATGCTTTTAAAGATATAGTCAAACCTCTATATAAGGGCCCTGTATACAGCGGTTACCCTGTATATTACGGTCACCTTGCCATTTCCCAAGGCTGACCGTTGTACACAGGTTCGACTGTAAACTCTAAAGTTTGTGAGGTTCATTCCCCAGAGCGTCTCAGAGGATTAGCTTACCCTTATCACCTCATAACACATACCATGCTTTATTTCTGCGTACGTACCCGTTTGAGCGGTTTTTGATGCGCATCGATATCCTGTTGCCTTGATTTTGAATCTATGTAGAGATCTTTTCCAGCCGCAGTTTTTAATATAAATGTTCCTCACGTTCGAGACATTAAAATCTTTTGTAGCAGAGGAGATGTCAAAATTGGACCGCCTAAACCAATAAAACTTGTTATAGCAAAGCGTCTTCCAATCTGAAGTCTCGTTAAAGCACAAAGCTATGAGAGAACACCAGTTTCTCAAGCAACTGCGTGTTTCTGAGTCTCTTTTGTAGTACCAGTAATTGTAATAGTAAAGGTAATAGTAATAGTCATAATCATAGTAAGGAACAGGACATTTTATGGCGTAGTAAGGACCAGACGTTCCATTGACAAGTGATTGACAGTTTCCTTTTTTAAGTTCTTCGGATTGCAACAGTTTGGCGTTTTGCAAGCAATACCCTCCTATGTCAACAAGAAAAACCAAATAAAATTTAACAGATATAACTGAAACTGAGGGAACAGTGAGCGGGAACGAGCACTGGGGAACGGGAAAATGAAAAATGGGAGCAAAAAGAGAATTGGAAATGAAATGTTAGCGTTCAAATTGGGTTTTGTTCCAATTTTTCATTTTTCCCGTTCCTCAGTGCTCGTTCCCCGTTTTAGTAACATTCAAATTTAACACAGGGCTTTTTCGTTTTTTTGTTTGTTTTGTTTTGTTTTTTGTTTTGGAGCCAATCTTTGTGCTGTATCTACCCGAGCAGCCTCTTCCTCAGGCGCTTCGTTTTTAGCACTGCACAGAGGCGAGCGCGAAACGCGAGTGACTGGTAACGAAGCGTAAGGGACTATGGGAAGGAGTCTCGTCCGTTTTCTCGTTCCCGCCTTCCGTTGCGCGCAAATTTTCAGCAAGAGAGAGACGTCTGGGTACGAAGCAGCTGCCCGTGCAAGATTTTATTCAAACCTATACCCCCACTGTGTTCACAATGAAACCGCAAATAAATTTGCAGAACATTGGCCTAGGAATTAATTAGCAGCTGCTGAAGGAAAGAGTTTCTGAATTAAAAGTGTTTTTAAAACAAATCAGAGAAAACCTTGGATCGAAGAAGGGAATTCGCAATCAGCCACCTACCTCCTTCCCCTAGAACGTTCGAGTTTATTTTGTTGTTGGTTTTGTTGTTGTTGTTTGTTGTTGTTGTGATGGAACAATTTACGCCAAACGCCAGAAAAAAGTATTAAGCCTGATACCTTATGTGCCCAGTAGTCCTCCCTTGTTAAGTTACAATTTGATCGTTTGGAAACAGTTACGTCCAGACAGGATTAACATCAATTCCTTGTAAGGTCTCCAATTTGGTTTTAATGTTTTAAACAAGAAGTGCCAGCATTAAGATTACGAAAAGAGCCGCGTCGTATGTTTAATTTTAATATCTTATTCAAATTAATTGTTTACTTCGGGAAAAATTTTCTAATTTCTGTCTTTATGCTGATTGCAAAGTCTGAGAAATAATTTTTCGCTTTACAATTATGCCATGGAAATATGCACAAATAAAACTACCGAAACTTATTAATTCTACTATATTTAAAAACCATTTTTTTCTTAAAACTAAAAGTAATGACCAATATAGAGGTTGTCGGTTGTCTACTGTAAAACAAAGATGTGGAGGAAAAAGGTCAATATCAGGTTTCTTTCGATAACATTGGGAGGTTCGAGATATTAGAACTCTCGAACTCTTTTTAATTTAAATTTAATTGAACTTCTGACGTAGGGGTGGTGATGCATTTTTTGAGTGGTAGATATGGTTAATAACACTGGCCACCTGCTGACACAAAGAGACTTACGGGGTATTTCTTTTAAGAGAGTGCATAACTTACCTTCTACAGCATTTCCGAACGAAAGAACTGCGAAGTATATGTAATAAGAGAAATACATATGGTTAATTAAAACAGTTGTCCTTAATTTGGCAGTAATAAATTATTCTCGTAAGATCTTACA